CCCCAAAACCCCAAAACCCCGTGATTTGAAATATGAAGGAGAAATTCATTATATTAAAATCATGAGTGAGTGAATGATATCTAATTTTTATAATTGCAACTAAATTATATAATAATATAACCTAAATAGCTTTAATAATTTAGGAATGGGGAACTGTTCACAGTGTTTAAGAGATGGTTCTCATCACAACTCCAAGAATAAGAGCTCTGTCCACAGCACTCACCTCAGTACACATAATGATGAGCAGTAGCAAACACCGAGGTATATATCAATTGGAATGAGTTGATCTCTGAAGTAACTGAGTTGTTTAGGTACACTAAAGTGACTATTGATTAAGTTTTTGAGGATGGAGGAGAGGAACTGGGATATCTCGGTCAAGTTGATAATGACTAAATGATGACTTTCACAGTTCACTTTTATAATATAAGGTTGCTAAGCTTTAACGTGGTATGATTTATTCACTAGTGCTCATTGTGCACATTTAGAGAGACGAAATGTTTTTGATGTGCGATATTGATGAGGACACTCGTCAGAGATTAAAAGACAACATGAAAAAAAACAAGGAGATTGAATCTGTCCAGAAAGATCATTAGTCTTTCAAGTAATCACCTTCATGGCCTGCTTTGGTGACTGAGATTGTGGAATCAAATGGAATCAGATGGAAAACGCAGCCATTTGTGTTAGACAAAGAAGGTAATCAATAGGTAAGCACTCCTACAGTTTTGATAAGGACACTTATTTTGATTATTTATTAATTACTTTATAGATAGATATAGACAACCACTTCAAATTTGAATGCAAATACCAAGATATTTGGAAGAAATGCGTCATTATGGTATATTCCTCAATAATGTATAATTATATATACAGGAACTGTATAAATCTAATTAGCCCTTGAAACCTTTTTCGTATATCGCTATAGACTTTTTGGCATTGGCTTTAGGCCCTAAGCATTGCGATTTTGAGATGAGAAATTACAAGTCGAAAAGGTCTCTTGGTAGATTGGCATTTGATGTTAGCATTAAGTAGCTTTAGAACATGGAACTATCACTACAGGAGTTAAGGTGTAAGTTGAACTATAAAGAAGAGAAACCAATATTTGGGTATTTTAAATTCATAACCAACCATGGAGCTCCAAAGGTGAGTGAACCTACTTACTCTTAGATAGGCAGATACAAAAAAGATAAAAATCGAACTACATTTAGGTGGCATATTGATGATGATCCAACATCAATACCAAAGACATCACAGACTGTTTCACTTGAAAGCTTGAAATACGCTACTTTGTTGATAGGTGTAAAGGTAGACAGATTCTACTCTGAGGCAATTCATGATTTAGTCATTCAAAAGTTGAGCCTTGCCAAAAAGTTAAGAGGATAAGTGCACCAGGAAAGTGAGAGTTCTGAAGCTCATACACACAATAATGAAGCAGAGATATAAATATATGTGAGAGAATAGCAGAATTCTGAGTAAGAATAAACAGATTTTTTCAAATCTAACAGATCAAGATAAGAAAGTGAAAGCATGCTCATGCTGTAAACTTCAGAAGTGCTTAACAAAAACAGTTTAAACAATGAAAAGTTATAATAAAATTATCTGCAAGTTAACTAGCCAAAGCATTCATCTGATGTAATGAATGATTAGAAACATTAGGAATAGCTTAAAGAATTATGGACAAGAATTAGCATGAACAATATCCTCAAAAACCCTTTACAGAGCTCTTATGATAATCTGGATGAGATGGTCATCGATAAAAAGGTAAGGAAATCAAAGACTTTTGTGAATAAAAAGAGTAAGACGTCAGTCATCATTGATGGGGCTGACTATTATAAGAAGTATAATGAAATAGAGGACAACTCAAGAAGTTTGGCTTTTAACTTTGTGGGAGAATGTTACCTAGGAATATCAAAGCTACTGTAATCTGAATATAGAAACTATGATAGAAGAGATTCCAATATACTTTAGGGATAGCTAAACAAATCGCTTAAGCAATCACACTCAAATGGATCAGGTAACTTAAGGAGTAACTCAATATTAGAGAAACTTAATTAGGCTATCCATTTTAATAATGAACCTCATTCTAAGAAATGTAAGCATGACATTAAGGAATTTGAGGAGTAAATTTGGGCTATGGGTAAGATAATTGGAACACTTTCTGGCTCTTTTATCTTATCTAACGTCCCTGTCATACAATAAATGGCTTTAGGAATACTGACTGAGACTGGTATTGTAATGAATGCTGCACCAATTATCATAGAAGATAAGGATTTGTCAATGATGGGATTGACTAGGAAGAAATTAAGGAATGAGTAGATCAGTTAGCTGATTGATTTAACAAAGAGGCTTAAGAAAATAGATAGCTTTAAGACTAAGAGACAAATATATCAGACTTATAATGATAAGGAGAGAATATTGAATGATATGATTATACTGCTGTCAGAGTCAGATAAAACTGTCCAAGGGCATATGTACAAGTACGTTGATGATTTCGATTTGATAAGAGCTCAGCAAGCAATGATAGAATTGGCATTTCACTGCTTATTGATGGCTGAGAGTGTCAGATATGAATTTAAAAGAGATTACTATGAAATACTTTCACAGATATTTATGAGAGATGAACTAAAACTGACCAATCTCAGTTTAGTTGGGACAAACGCCAGAAATCCAAACTTTCGTTTCTTTGAAACAGATGGTGATAAATCTTCTAAAATGGAATCTAGAGATCAGTCGTTTATTAAAGTACTTTCTCCTACTAATAAGGATAAATCCCCAATTATCTTAAATACTGGAAGAAGGAATGAAAGCTAGACAAGAAACAATTCAAAGCTTGATAAAGCAGATGATGATTCTAAGGAAAAGATAAAATAGGAGAAGATTAAGGTAGCCTCATTCTATTAAAAGCTGCTCTATCAAATACTAGATGACTGTTTAAATAAATTTTGCAGAAGAGATGTAGAACCTTATTTGAAGTCTTATCTTGAGATTTGCATTTCAATAGCCTTTTTCAGAGTGCCAAAATTCTAAGAGATATTCCTTAAATGCATTTCAGAACATATAGATTATAATGTACCAGAATGGAAAAATGTTAATTGGAATATTGATGAGGAGAGCATTAGCTTTTAGCTAGGTATACTCTCTCTCTTTGATTGGGAAATAAACTTTCATAACTTGATTCCAGATACATTAGACTAGCAAGAAAATCTAAAGCTTCTGAAAAGGATTGAAGGTAATAAGAAATGGCAAAAAAGGGTGAAGAAGAGATCCATCGCTTACTTTCAGATTATAAGAAGATGGACAGATATCATTAACTAAACTGTACTTACTCATTCCTTGTTCTGGCAGGATATTCCTGGCTACAAAATAATAGTAAAGTCTATTATCCTCGAAATGAAGGCTAGGAATGTATCAGATTATCCTGATTCACTTATCGAAGCCATTTAATCTCTACTATAAAACACCCAACTTCTGACAGTTTTCACCAATATTATATTTGCTAAAACAAATGTATACGATTCATTGACTTTGTGCAATACAATGACTATGGCTTTGTAATGGATTAATCACATTGAAAGAATAGGGTTGAGCTTCCCCTCAAATTTTGACTTTAATTACTTCTTCTAAGGAATATACATAGCTCTAGACATAGATCATTCGATTTCTACTCCAAGGACATTATATCTGATTTATAGAACAATGCACTTTTTCCCATTAGACCAAAGAATAATCATAGTCTAGTAACTTCTGAAGAGATACTTCTATTAGTTAATTTTCAGTTGGAGTTTTAACATCAGAGACATATTCATGTCCTTGTTTCTTTATTAAATCGAGTATTAGTTTATCAATAAAAATACTCAGCAGCATTTGAATATTAAAGCTATCAATAGTACTTTTACACCAAATGCATCTACCATTGAGTTGATATAGACATCTTAGGAGGATGAGTAGCAAATGAAACGATTAAAGCAGAAAAGGAGGCAAAATTTGGAATAGATGGAGGTTTAGCTTTCATAGTACGAATCAATAGTTGAATAGAATCCAAATGAAGCTGAGGAGTAATTTGACCAATCTCTATCAATGACGTCTAAAATCAGAATAGTGACTGAAATTGGTGGAATCAATGTAGGGACTAATATCAAAACCTAATAAGTTGAGTAGTAACCAGCAATTACCAGGCAATTAAGTGATGACCGTAAAACTAATCCTGACAGGAGAAAATAATATGACTCTGGCCAAGTCCTCTAATCTGTAAGATTTGCTATTTAGGCTAATATTTCTAGTTCATTAAGACGCATTAGATGTTCAGATAGAAACTAAAAGAGCTCCAAATTCTTGAGGAGCATTACACTTAATGTAAAAGCCCCATAAAATAAAGCATGAAAGACATCAGCACAATGACAACCTCTTCATAAGGTACATCTGAACTAAAACATCTGGAATATGATAGCAATACATATGAAAAGATTGTCTAAAACATTCCTCAGCAACTTAGAGTTTACATTCCAGCGTATTATTCAATTTTAATTAATGATATAATTAGAGCTTTGAATGACTTTTCAAGATAATTGGAAGATTTTGAGAGATGGAAAACAACTTAAGCTACATTCAACAATGACATTATCCTGGTCTTGCCAGAATTCAACATGGAGAAGAATATGCCAGTAGAAGACGATGAAAACCTTGCTAAGAAAGATGAATGGTGAATAGACTTGTAAGAAAAGTCAGTAGTGATTTAAACACTTGTACATATGGGGTCATTCTTAATCAATCAAATATTTAATGCATCACGAGTTGAGCATTCAAATTATCTCACAATAATAAATTCCATTCAGAGTAAGAATAAATTAAAACCTACATTCTCAAATTAAATTTAGCATATGGGGTTTTGGGGTTTTGGGG